CGCTCACTGCCGCCGGGCTGCCCCCCCCGCACTCCCGCTGCCGCCAGTGCAGCCGCGGCTCCCCAGCCGCCGGGGGCATGCGCCCTTCATGGTTCAGTTTGAGGCAGGCAGCCAAGAGGAACGACTCAAGGTCTTCTACTTCCCATTGCAGGCCGGCCTCGCTGTTACTGTAAATGACAGGGCTGGAGAAGAGAAAGTGAAGTAGCTTTCACTATCACTCTTGTCTTCTCTGGCTCTCGTGGTGCAAAGACGGAAGTGAGGAGAAAAACTTTTCCACCCCTCTCTGACCAGTTGGAAGAGGAGCGGGGAAAGGATGGTAATAATGTTGTTTGAGAGTGCTGCTTTGGGCATAGCTACCGGTGTTTGAAAGAAAATCCAGCATTTTCTGGTTAAACTAGATGTCCTAGAATTACCAACGGTTTCTGTATATTTTCTGCTGTTTTCAGGGGCAACTTTTTCAGACCCTCACTGCTCAGGCAGTTTACAAGCTCCTACAGCAATACTCCCTCAGTTCAGAAGAAATAAAGCCTATCTTCCCTAACTCCATATGTTGTTACACTACAGAACTATTTGGCTTGGCTGAGCACAAAATCCTGCTGTCAACTAGGAGTTTCATTTTCGTAGATACAGGATTGAGTAGGATCATTGCAGGAAGAAAGGGAGTGGGGAGGGAGGGCAAGGTAGTCTGATATGCAGAAAAACCATCACCAACAAGGGCAAAAATAAGTACTGGATGTGTACAAAATCCCTTGTCAACACTAATAATATTTCTAAAAGTTCCCTTCTAAGCCAACTCTTGTTTGGAAAATAGATAGGACATGCACAAAAACTATTAATGATCTGTACAAAAATTGCTTTTTAAAGCATGTAAACTAGCCACCACCAGTGCAGTCAGATACATTGGACATGCCCTCAACTTTTAAATCTCTCTCCCATCTGGCTGCTGCTCCTTCCTTCCCACATATGCTTCCTTTCCCCCTTTTTTTGTTTCGTTTTGTTTTTCCCTTCACGTGTCCGCTAAGCCCTCTCAATTCAGGATGCACTTTACATACATACATGCAGGAGTTGATCAACATTGTTTTAATTGCTGGAATCATACATTGTGTTTGCAAGCTATTTGTTTAACAAACATATGCCCATCAGGTTTTACAAAATAAATTAAAAAGATATTCAAGTCAAATTAACAAAAAAAATCATTGCAACATTTACAACCCTTTGCATAGCTGGTAATAAATACTGGTAAAAAAAATTAAGGCACCGTGTCCTCGAGGTTCATGTAACTTCTCCATAATGACCTTAGTTCTGCAAGTTCTTTATTACAGGAGCCTGAGGCCCTTCTTTTCCGAGCAACAGGTTTGAGACATCCAGTATCCTGTGGACCATGAGACCATATATCAGTAAATTACCTTTTAGGGTCTAACCACATGTTACTGGTTTGATCGGAGGCACTGCCCTCTGGTCAAATCGGCTTGGTTTAAGATAAAGGAGATTCTCTTTCTCCCACCCCCTCTTCCCCTCTTCCCCGACTTACAGCCCTAAACGTGGACCTGGACTCAGAAAATTAAGCTGCTCTTTCTGGCCTGCACATCACCTAGTGTAATAGGAGCAAACTCTGTCCCTATGATATTGGAGGGTCCCTTGGCAGCCAGCAAGAATAGTTCTGCTGCACCAGAAGAGATAAGTATTATTCCTCTATCCCAAACCAATACCCAGCACTCTAGCTGCTAGTCTGCACTGGCAAAAAGTGAAGAGAAACTCTGCCCCATCATCAACAGGAGCTGTAGCGTAGCTTAGATGCGTTCAGGTATTTTTTACCGTAGTTTTATAGTAGTAAAGAGCCTTGAGCCTGAGCACGCTGACGCAGGAACTTCCACAGCTGATATCACGGCTAGCACCGCCCCAGAGGTGAATCCCAGGTCCCGTCTGAGCAGACGGGACCAGAGAGATAGGATGACGCTTTGAGCCAACCGGTGTCTGAAGCAGGATGAACTTTCTTGGAGGGACGGGGACAAGAATCAATCACGTATGCACCAATCTGCCTTCCCTCTACCTCCAGGAAATATCCAGTGGCAAATACTTGCTTTGCCTGTTTTGATCACCTTTAAAATTCATCATCAGTAGAGACCTCACCTCTGGCTTTCAAAGAAACATCAAGTAGTAAGCGTCTTAAGCGTTCCCAAAGCAAAGGAAGCTGTCTCGTCTTTGCACAATGCACTCAAATTTTGCTTTAGAAGATTTAAAAAAAAAAAGGGGGGGGGGACCCAACCCCCACCCCGGTGAGCTCTGTACTCTGTTCTTACCTGCAAAGGGTCGTAGCTTTTGCAATTTTCGTTCAGAAGCGCACGAGTGTCCTGCCAGATGTGCTTATACTGCGTGCAGATGCAGCGCCTGGTAACGTTGTGTATGCACCGCAACAGGTTTTCGTTCTGGTACGCGGAGACAATGTGATCGCGATCGGTCAGTTGAGGTTAACAGCCGATAGATGGCACCCGTTACACCTTTCTCAGCAAATCCTTCCGCTTTCTAAGAAACTACCTGAAAGAGCTACACATCCCTATCTACCATGGACCGTGTCCTTTTCAGCACCTTTGAAAAGCAGTGAAGAGAAGGAGCGAAACACGCTTAGCTATCAATCTGCACGTTTTTATGGTTTTCTGTTTAAAATATCTTAATCTCCGCCTCCCCCTCCCCAGCAAGTTTTATGTTTGTATCAACCCCAAACCACTTCATTATTGTTGGGCTCTGTGAACCGAGCTCCAAGCTTTGCCTGCTCTACCACGGGAGGTCCCGAAGTCCCTTCATTTTTTCCTAAGCATCATTTCATGGGTTCAAAGAGCAATGGAATAACACTCACACCGACTTCGCAGTCATGATAATCTTGATCCTAGAGACAGAGAGAGAAAATAACAGCAGTTCGCATATAACCAGACGATCACACCAGGCAACTTGATTTAACAAAAGGGAACTTTCTCCAGCATTGTTGGCTTTTGCATTTATGGTATAAATTGGTTACAATGATTGCAAAGTTTTTATGAGCCATTGAATTTTCTTCCCATACCTGGTACCTGGAACACTTATCTCAAGTGATCAAAGTTATCTGACAAGTCCCTGTCCAGCGAAAATCTACTGACATGCTTAGCTTCAAGAAAAGTCTTCCGTGGTAGGTGTGTGTATGGACACATGCACAGTACACATGTCATATCCCACTTACATCCTATCATGCATATTACTGTTGCATATGAATATTGAAGAATGAAATACACAGTCAGATTTATCTTGGTTGGAAGGACTGTGCCCTTGTTTCACCTTTTCTCATCCACTGCAAGTTACAGGGATATCTTGAATTCAGGCTTCAGGTCCCCCTGGAAAATGAGGGGGAAATTTTCCCTTCCAAAAGCTGTTGGGCAAAAACCATTTACCAAGCTAATCAAGACCCAGATTTACCAGTAAATATTCTCCAAACTATCTTTCGAGCACCATTAAGGGCAGGCAGAGATGTAGCAGCAGCAACTGTATCATCGATTTGGCTGGACACGAGGAAAAAAACATCACCTTTTTACCCGGGTATGTATCTAAGTCGGGCATGAGGATGAACATATACTTGTCTTTTATTTCTCCATGTTTGCAGATACTGAAGTTATGGCCAGACACCAGGATGAAGTGAAGAAACTGAAGCCAGACGACCAACCTATAGAAGACTGCTAAATAAAGCAAAAAAGAAACATTCGTTATATAAAATAACTACTTATAGTAAGTTATACTAAATAAGTTACAAAGCCCAAGGATAAAAAAAAAGAGGTAAAGTTCCTAGAGAGTGCTACTCCTCTGAAGTGCTAGAGAGGAAATTACCCTGGTGGTTGTCCATAATGATGTTCTTTGAAGTTGGCTTTTCACTACTGGGCTTCAGTGCTTTGGTGGCTTCCTATATATGTATGTACCTGGCCGCCTACGGCAAATGGTGTTTTCCAGTTCCATAGCCGGGTCGTGCTGGGATGTCTCATTCACCTCTTTTTTTAAGGACTGCAAATAAAAATTATTCATACATAAAGTTATGTCATTACTAAGCTTACAAGTCGATAAGAACACAATATGCAATCAAGTAAGGCTTGTATCTGGGGAAGCTTCTATAAAGACAATTGGGGGGCGGGAGGGGGAAACCCCCCGCTGAAAAGGTAAAGTTCGCTTTCAAAATGAAATCATAACTATTCCCCATGCGTCTCATCGCAGGAGGAAGCATTCATTACACAACAGAGATCTGCCTATGAAGAAACCACTTCAGCTCCTGCTATATACCGTTGACGCAAAAGATGTAATATGTGTTTATACGTGTGTGTGTGTGTGGGGGGGGTCATATTTATCAGATCTTTATCTTTAGAGAGAGACGATCAGTACTGTGGGGCTTTGCCAGGGATAGTAAAGCGTGCTTTGAAGATGCTCCGTGAAGGGTGGGGATTTGCGATACCCCCCCCGCTGAATCCCCCCTGGTGCTGACTTGGCCTGGAAGGAGAGAGGAGCTGTGTCCGGCCCGAGGCAGCTCCACCAGGCGGTCACCGGCCAGGAGGGCTGCACCCACTGGGCCCCCGCAGCACCCGCAAGCTGGCTGCGCTGTGCGGGGCTCGGCCAGTGTGTGGGCGCCCCCCGGGGCGGGCTCGGGGACCTCCTTGTCCCCGTCAACCACGCGGGCAGGGGCAGGGGCAGGCACTAGCGGGTGTCTGAGGCGCCGGGGGCGGGGGTCTTATCCCTTCCCGAGGCGGC